TCCGTCTGCCTTGGTCCAAGTTTTTCTGTGGTTTCCTTGGATCACTTAGGCAAATGCTGAGGCAGTAATATTCCACAGATAATCTTTCACTCTCTTCTGTCTTCATTTCGTCCGTCTCATCATTCTCACCTGAACCACCACCCACCCATTTCCACGATTCCTGAAAGCAGGCTGAAGAGGGCCTTCCGCCCTACCTTCCGGCATAGTCCGGAAGGACTGCCCGCATTACTGGCTGGTGGGAATGAAACACCCAAAAGAAAAATCTCCAGATTACGCTGGAGGGGATGAGTGGTGATTGGAATGATAAAGATGAGTTGGGCGAAATGAAGACAGGAGATTATCTGTGGTATATTACCCCCCTGTATTTGTCTAAGTGAAACCCCAGATGTATCCGGAATCGAACCGGTAACCTCCCGAATCCTAAGCAATGACCTGCCGCTTGGTCATGGTAAACTATTAAACCATGACGCTTTTTGTGGGTCTTGCAACATTGGAATGGTCGCATAAAGATTTAGCTAGGGCCATTCCTTAGCACTCGAGGTTGTTTTTGTTAAATTTTAAGATCAATATCTTCAGTAGTTTTTACATTATTTCAAAAATAAACACTGAAAGCAAGAACTTTGAAAAATGTGTCCTAATTCCGATTCCTTATTTTATACAATTTCCAGTTTTAAAAATCTTTCCTTTTACCTGTAACTAAAACTTTTTGATTTTGTATCAGTTGGGACCTACTTCTATTATATTAATTGATATTTTTACAATTAGTGAAAATTGGTGTAGAAGGCACTATAGCAGCGTTCCAGACGCTCACCATTCTAAAGCAACCAAAGTGTGCATAATTTCGTCTCCCATAGAGCCAGTTGCCGAAGACGAAGAAGACGATGACGGTATTGAAAATGGTGATAATATTATATTCAACACAAATAAAACGTTAGTACTTACGATACATGTAATTATAATTATTATTTCCAAAAAGGACTCAACATGAAGTACTGGATTTATTTTGAATAATTTTACTTACTGCGAAATTCTTAAAAACTCAGCGTGGTTGAAATTTTACTTAAGGGGTAGTACAAATATACCTTAAGGAAATAATTTTGATAAAACCAGGAAAGAAGATAAAAGTTAGGCAATTTAATTACGATATAGATTTGACATTTAATAGGGGTTGATATCAAATTAATGTGAAAATTCATTTTTTAATTTAATCCCACTACAAACTCCCTCAAATTAAAGAGGGAAAAATTTTGTTGCTGTTGTCACACCCTCGCCGGGAATCGAACTCGGGACATTGGGCTTTACGCACTAATGCTTTGATCACTAAGCCTTCTTAGTAAAGCTAAAGGTCCCGGGTTCGATTCCCGGCGAGGGTGTGACAACAGCAACAAAATTTTTTTCTCATTAATTTGAGGGAGTTTGTAGTGGAATGAAAAAATGAATTTTCACATTAATTTGAATTTAATTACATATGTTAAGAAATTGACTAGTATCTAGCTCAAAAATGTTAAATTTTTAGACACGATTACACGTTTTTCCCAGAAAAATGGAAACAAATTTTGCGATATACGAAACTGGCAATATTAATAATTTTCTGGTTACTAATCACTATAATTTTAATGAGGAAAACAGAGATTGTTCCAGGGACACATCAAATAAACGTTGCAAAGGGGAAGGCTAAAAGTAAGTAATACACATTAGTTACAGATAAAAGCTAAAATTAACAAAACAATTGAGAAGTCAGTAATTTGATGAAACATTCGATAAAAAAAAGATAACGAATTGAATGGGAGGTAGATACATTATCCCCTCCCATAACCTTCCACTCCTTACATTCATACGTTTAATATTGGACCAATCTTAATGTAAGGATTACTTTTCAATTTTTGTTAACATTAAATGCTTATCTTTTCTTGAGGTTTTTCAATATTTGACGCCCCGAAATCAAAAAAGCTCGAGATAATGTTAGATGGCGCTATGCTGCCTGAATATTACAGAAACCTGTCACAACATTCGATGGATGTATGGGTTGAAGGGGTGGTCACGTCGCAACCCGCAAACAATAATAGCAATCTAAAGGAAGCAAACGTCTTATCAGTAAAAGTAAGCAGATGTTCATAAGACATTGGACGGTTATAATATACAGGATGTCCTTAACTACTTTTTTAGTCGAAAAGAAATAAAAGTCAAATGGGTGATACAAGATTAGCATGCTTAGATTTGCGGTTGATACAGTAGTATTTTAGCATCTAGCAAGGAGAAGTTAAGAGTTAGTTTTGAATAAAATGGAAGCGGAAGTAGGGCTAGAACTAATACAAAAATAGGAGACGATAAACTAGAAGAAGTCGCCATTTTTCGATATTTAGGGAGTGAGATAACTCATGATTGAAAAAGTGCTAGAGACTTGAAGCAAAGGGTGGAAAGGTAGAAGGTGGGAAATGCGGAAGAGAATAGGTTAGAAGGGTTTAGGATGTAGTGTTACAGGAGTATTTTAAAAATACCGTGGATAGAAAAGGTTAGAGTCGAGAAGGCATTTGAAGGAGTAGGAGGACAGAGGGCGCTATGGAAGTAAAAAAAGAACGGGTTAGATAGTTTGGTAAGACAATTTCTCAAACATGAAGGGCTAGTTAAAGACGCAGTAGGATCAAGAATCAAAAGGTGGTAGACCTAGATAAGACTACTACTTACAAATAGGGGACTGTAGGATGTCAGACGTCCCAATGTTGGGGAAATGGGAAGTCCGGCGCAGAATAAGAAAGGGTGAAGGTGAAAATAATTGCTCCTGTTTTCGAGATGATGACCTGACCTTATAATGAATATGATGAAGTGACTCAAGACCAAAATTTTCATTCTGTATCTCGATGATTTCAGGACATCCTACATGTATATTAATGATGATACATTGAATATACATATGTACCTTTGTATCAACATTATCATAAGGTCGTCAGTTCTAAGACTGGTTGGACACACACCACCACTCTTTCCTATCCTGAGCTAAACTTCGCATTTCCCTAAAACTAGAACATCCCACATATTTAACTATTTGTGAACAGTATCTAATCTAAGTCTACCCCTACTCTTCTTAACTCGTGTTTCGGCTTCTTACCAGCCCTTTTAAGAAGGTGTGACACCAACCGATCTCGCCTATTTCTTATTAACTTCCATAGAGTCCCATTCCTTTTTAATACCCCTTCATTTTTTATCCACGATACCTTCATCATTCGCCTGTAACTCCACATTTCAAACGCTTCTAACTTTTTTGTTTTCCGTCGCGCCCACCGCCCATGTTTCGCACCCCAAGAGCGCCTTGCTCCAGATGTACATCTTCAACAATCTTTTTTGAATTTCTAAATTAACCGTTCATGAGCACAGAACTGACTTCTTTTTGTTGAAGGCGACTTGACCCTGCGCTATCCTTGGCTTTATATTTCTACTGCTCCTTCTATCCTCAGTTTTCTGACTTTCTAGATACCGAAAATCAGCCACTTTTTCTAACTTTTCGTCCCCTATCTTTATATTTGCTTTTTCCCCACTTTTCTTCCCTTGCATACCAGTATTTTTGTTTTGTCAGCACCGCTTCTATTTTATTTAAATCTATCTCTAACTTCTCCTAGCTAGATGTTAATACTGCTATCATCATCATCATCATAAGGTCGTCAGCCCTAAGACTGGTTGGACACGTACCTTCAATCGTTCCTATCCTGAGCTAAACTTCGCATTTCCCTAAAACTAGAACAGCTCACATCCTTAACTATTTGCAAACAGTAATCTAATCTAGGTCTACCTCTACCCTCCTAACTCCTGTTTCTGCCTCTAATATATCTCTGACTAGACCTTCAAAGAAGGTGTCCTACCAACCTATCTCGTCTATTTTTTATTGACTTCCATAGAGTCCTCTGTTCTCCTATTCTTTCTAATACCTCTTCATTTCTAACCTTTTCTACCCACGATATCCTCATCATCCGCCTATAACACCACATTTCGAAAGCTTCTAACCTTTTCTTTTCCGCCACGCCCACTGTCCATGTTTCGCACCCGTACAGCGCCATGCTACAAACATACACCTTTAACAACCTTTTCTGAATTTCTAAATTAACCGTTCGCGAGCATAGAAGTGACTTCTTTTTATTAAAGGCGACACGACCCTGCGCTATCTTCTGCTTTATATCCCTACTACTCTGCTATATCATCTGCAAATCTAAACATACTAATCTTAACCTGTGGATACAAAACATTAAATCTTTCTTCGTCTTTCTTCAGAACATTTCTGAATTATGGCGTGTGCCCTTAGTCTCTGATACCATGCTAGAGCAGGTACCACAAATAAACCTGAGGAAGGCTCTAGCTCTGGATGATGTGCTAGTCAACGATTCGCAGTATCTATCGTTGAGAATAAAACTGAAAACAAATCTGGATAGAAATCTACCTTTATCCTTAGAGTACCATTTGGCTTCCATAAGTACCAACGATGGTGTCATTTACGCTGCGTTCGTCCTTCTGGGACTTTACGTCATCATTATATTTGAGGTAAATCAAGACCGTTTATAAAGCTTAGAATTAAAACAATTGAATTATTTGATTGTTTTTATGTAGAATCTCCAAGAACTTTTATTCTTCTATTATTACGTCAAACATTGTTTTTTAGATAATACATAGGACGTTAGCGGCCATGTTAGCGAGTACGATATCAATAGCGATTTTAGCTTATTTGAATGTTAGACCGGCTCTTTCGGAGATCGTGTCGTGGATTGATACTGAAACGTTGCTTCTATTGTTTTCTATGATGATCATAGTCACCATTGTCAGCGAAACGGGTCTATTTGATTATTTAGCAGTATTAGCATTTAAGGTAAGGCTATCAACGAAAATGCGAATTCTTCCGAATTCTATATTTATAGAAAACCCACAAATACTTTTAGAATTGTAACCAGTGACTCTAACTATTTTCGCAAACGTACATAGTTTTTACAAGTATGAATGTGCTTTGAGTAATTGTTTTACAACTTTTAAACATCATTAAAATTTTTGTAACTCTAGCTTCAATTCGACAATATATCACTGAACATATATTTAATATCGAAAGAATCATTACCTTTATCGCAGCAATTATCGTTGTTATAAACAATTGACATCACATTCACTTTTCACTGCACTTCATACTTGACGAAAACATGTAAATGTATTATTGTATAGCAGCTGTCCACGCGGACGCATCGCTCACTCAAGTAGGAGAGAGACAGATGTCGAACGCTGCCGAACGCGGAGGCCGATTGTGCCTCTTTGTCGCTCGTTCCGCGCTCTCGCTTGCACTTCAACCCTTAAATGGAACGCCTCAGAGCGAGGTAACGCCGCATGAGTCATGTTTTTTCGTGCGTGCAGCCGGTTCCATCGAATTATAAGACGTCACGTCAAAATATTGCCGAAAACAATGGATATAATTGTAGTATTATTGATAAAATAGTTAACAAAAAAATGTTTAAGAATCTCACTTCAAAATATTGCAGTAAGAAATACATTGGACAAACTAAACGTTCAGTACATGTTAGGTTTAAAGAACATTTGACTCATGCCAGGTTTAGTACACTTGAAAATCCAGGGTTGCTCAAAATATTCTTACTAATAATCACAGGAACGATATTGATAATCGATAAGGAAATTAGAAATAATTACTTGCTTGACAGTTTTGAAAGTATGTTTCTTTATAAATATCTATTAAACTCTGTTAACAGTGGCAAAGGTCTTATGCCTAATTCTCCACTATTTGGGCTAATGTAATTGTTTTGCTCTTTTGTTTTGTAAGGTCCACATTGTAGTTGACGTATTGAGTTATGCTCACCGGACTACAACATTAATTAGTCATGTTTGCCTTACCTTTGACCTTTGATTCTCTTCAGTCCCTGAAGAAGGTAACTTTGTTACCGAAAACTGTTTCGGACGTTTGTGTCGTATTTTGGCTTTGAGATTTGAACTGTTTAATGTTCAACACTACAACACCGCCCTACACAGACACTATTTAATTAATTTGAAACACAGTCGCAATTTATTTATTTAAAGGGCAATCTTATTTTATTTCTAGTGCAACCCGTATTTTATTTGTATTTAGCTAAATTGTTGGGCGATACTTTAAAAATTAGAAATTGCTATTTTGTTAATTGTTTTCAATACTTTGTACCTTTATTAGGTAACAAATGGGAAGGAATGGCCCCTTATAAACACCTTGTGTTTGTTTACCGTATTTTTGTCGTGTTTTCTGGACAGCGTCACGACGGCTTTGCTCCTTACTCCAGTTACTATAAGGCAAGTAAAGAAACAGGACCGTAACAAAATAATTCCAAGTGATACACAAGAAAAAATTACTTCCAGAATTAAAATAACTGTTTAATAAAGATATTTATAGTTATCTTTTTTAACTTTAGGTTGTGTGAGGTAATGAAACTGAACCCAGTTCCAGTACTAATTTCAATGGTTATATATTCGAATGTAGGAGGAGCTATAACGCCTGTTGGGGATCCCCCTAACGTTATTATTGCATCCAATAAAAATGTTGTAAGCTCCGTAAGTAATACAACTTTATATTAATTATTGTTGTGAATGTGTCCGTGTACGTATTTGTGTGTATAACTCATCTCCTCGCCCATCAACTATACTTCGTTTAGTTTCTGTAGCGATGTGACCTTCAGTTTGACCGGCGCAAAGTAGAAAAGAACAGCACTAGGCCAGAAAAGAAAGGAGACAACTCTCGGCCAAACTCTTAACCGGTGAGAAGCGTATAAACCGTACAGTACTGCACGGAAAAANCGCCCTACCTTCCGGCATAGTCCGGAAGGACTGCCCGCATTACTGGCTGGTGGGAATGAAACACCCAAAAGAAAAATCTCCAGATTACGCTGGAGGGGATGAGTGGTGATTGGAATGATAAAGATGAGTTGGGCGAAATGAAGACAGGAGATTATCTGTGGTATATTACCCCCCTGTATTTGTCTAAGTGAAACCCCAGATGTATCCGGAATCGAACCGGTAACCTCCCGAATCCTAAGCAATGACCTGCCGCTTGGTCATGGTAAACTATTAAACCATGACGCTTTTTGTGGGTCTTGCAGCATTGGAATGGTCACATAAATATTTAGCTAGGACCATTCCTTGGTAGCACTCGAGAGGACACCGGGTTCTTTTTGTTGAATTTTAAGATCAATATCTTCAGTAGTTTTTACATTATTTCAAAAATAAACACTGAAAGCAAGAACTTTGAAAAATGTATCCTAATTCCGATTCCTTATTTTATACAATTTCCAGTTTTAAAAATCTTTCCTTTTACCTGTAACTAAAACTTTTTGATTTTGTATCAGTTGGGACCTACTTCTATTATATTAATTGATATTTTTACAATTAGTGAAAATTGGTGTAGAAGGCACTATAGCAGCGTTCCAGACGCTCACCATTCTAAAGCAACCAAAGTGTGCATAATTTCGTCTCCCATAGAGCCAGTTGCCGAAGACGAAGAAGACGATGACGGTATTGAAAATGGTGATAATATTATATTCAACACAAATAAAACGTTAGTACTTACGATACATGTAATTATAATTATTATTTCCAAAAAGGACTCAACATGAAGTACTGGATTTATTTTGAATAATTTTACTTACTGCGAAATTCTTAAAAACTCAGCGTGGTTGAAATTTTACTTAAGGGGTAGTACAAATATACCTTAAGGAAATAATTTTGATAAAACCAGGAAAGAAGATAAAAGTTAGGCAATTTAATTACGATATAGATTTGACATTTAATAGGGGTTGATATCAAATTAATGTGAAAATTCATTTTTTAATTTAATCCCACTACAAACTCCCTCAAATTAAAGAGGGAAAAATTTTGTTGCTGTTGTCACACCCTCGCCGGGAATCGAACTCGGGACATTGGGCTTTACGCACTAATGCTTTGATCACTAAGCCTTCTTAGTAAAGCTAAAGGTCCCGGGTTCGATTCCCGGCGAGGGTGTGACAACAGCAACAAAATTTTTTTCTCATTAATTTGAGGGAGTTTGTAGTGGAATGAAAAAATGAATTTTCACATTAATTTGAATTTAATTACATATGTTAAGAAATTGACTAGTATCTAGCTCAAAAATGTTAAATTTTTAGACACGATTACACGTTTTTCCCAGAAAAATGGAAACAAATTTTGCGATATACGAAACTGGCAATATTAATAATTTTCTGGTTACTAATCACTATAATTTTAATGAGGAAAACAGAGATTGTTCCAGGGACACATCAAATAAACGTTGCAAAGGGGAAGGCTAAAAGTAAGTAATACACATTAGTTACAGATAAAAGCTAAAATTAACAAAACAATTGAGAAGTCAGTAATTTGATGAAACATTCGATAAAAAAAAGATAACGAATTGAATGGGAGGTAGATACATTATCCCCTCCCATAACCTTCCACTCCTTACATTCATACGTTTAATATTGGACCAATCTTAATGTAAGGATTACTTTTCAATTTTTGTTAACATTAAATGCTTATCTTTTCTTGAGGTTTTTCAATATTTGACGCCCCGAAATCAAAAAAGCTCGAGATAATGTTAGATGGCGCTATGCTGCCTGAATATTACAGAAACCTGTCACAACATTCGATGGATGTATGGGTTGAAGGGGTGGTCACGTCGCAACCCGCAAACAATAATAGCAATCTAAAGGAAGCAAACGTCTTATCAGTAAAAGTAAGCAGATGTTCATAAGACATTGGACGGTTATAATATACAGGATGTCCTTAACTACTTTTTTAGTCGAAAAGAAATAAAAGTCAAATGGGTGATACAAGATTAGCATGCTTAGATTTGCGGTTGATACAGTAGTATTTTAGCATCTAGCAAGGAGAAGTTAAGAGTTAGTTTTGAATAAAATGGAAGCGGAAGTAGGGCTAGAACTAATACAAAAATAGGAGACGATAAACTAGAAGAAGTCGCCATTTTTCGATATTTAGGGAGTGAGATAACTCATGATTGAAAAAGTGCTAGAGACTTGAAGCAAAGGGTGGAAAGGTAGAAGGTGGGAAATGCGGAAGAGAATAGGTTAGAAGGGTTTAGGATGTAGTGTTACAGGAGTATTTTAAAAATACCGTGGATAGAAAAGGTTAGAGTCGAGAAGGCATTTGAAGGAGTAGGAGGACAGAGGGCGCTATGGAAGTAAAAAAAGAACGGGTTAGATAGTTTGGTAAGACAATTTCTCAAACATGAAGGGCTAGTTAAAGACGCAGTAGGATCAAGAATCAAAAGGTGGTAGACCTAGATAAGACTACTACTTACAAATAGGGGACTGTAGGATGTCAGACGTCCCAATGTTGGGGAAATGGGAAGTCCGGCGCAGAATAAGAAAGGGTGAAGGTGAAAATAATTGCTCCTGTTTTCGAGATGATGACCTGACCTTATAATGAATATGATGAAGTGACTCAAGACCAAAATTTTCATTCTGTATCTCGATGATTTCAGGACATCCTACATGTATATTAATGATGATACATTGAATATACATATGTACCTTTGTATCAACATTATCATAAGGTCGTCAGTTCTAAGACTGGTTGGACACACACCACCACTCTTTCCTATCCTGAGCTAAACTTCGCATTTCCCTAAAACTAGAACATCCCACATATTTAACTATTTGTGAACAGTATCTAATCTAAGTCTACCCCTACTCTTCTTAACTCGTGTTTCGGCTTCTTACCAGCCCTTTTAAGAAGGTGTGACACCAACCGATCTCGCCTATTTCTTATTAACTTCCATAGAGTCCCATTCCTTTTTAATACCCCTTCATTTTTTATCCACGATACCTTCATCATTCGCCTGTAACTCCACATTTCAAACGCTTCTAACTTTTTTGTTTTCCGTCGCGCCCACCGCCCATGTTTCGCACCCCAAGAGCGCCTTGCTCCAGATGTACATCTTCAACAATCTTTTTTGAATTTCTAAATTAACCGTTCATGAGCACAGAACTGACTTCTTTTTGTTGAAGGCGACTTGACCCTGCGCTATCCTTGGCTTTATATTTCTACTGCTCCTTCTATCCTCAGTTTTCTGACTTTCTAGATACCGAAAATCAGCCACTTTTTCTAACTTTTCGTCCCCTATCTTTATATTTGCTTTTTCCCCACTTTTCTTCCCTTGCATACCAGTATTTTTGTTTTGTCAGCACCGCTTCTATTTTATTTAAATCTATCTCTAACTTCTCCTAGCTAGATGTTAATACTGCTATCATCATCATCATCATAAGGTCGTCAGCCCTAAGACTGGTTGGACACGTACCTTCAATCGTTCCTATCCTGAGCTAAACTTCGCATTTCCCTAAAACTAGAACAGCTCACATCCTTAACTATTTGCAAACAGTAATCTAATCTAGGTCTACCTCTACGCCTCCTAACTCCTGTTTCTGCCTCTAATATATCTCTGACTAGACCTAGAAGGTGTCCTACCAACCTATCTCGTCTATTTTTTATTGACTTCCATAGAGTCCTCTGTTCTCCTATTCTTTCTAATACCTCTTCATTTCTAACCTTTTCTACCCACGATATCCTCATCATCCGCCTATAACACCACATTTCGAAAGCTTCTAACCTTTTCTTTTCCGCCACGCCCACTGTCCATGTTTCGCACCCGTACAGCGCCATGCTACAAACATACACCTTTAACAACCTTTTCTGAATTTCTAAATTAACCGTTCGCGAGCATAGAAGTGACTTCTTTTTATTAAAGGCGACACGACCCTGCGCTATCCTCTGCTT